ATCAAGGAAGAACTGAACCTGGGTGACTACGAGATATAGATAATATGAAATTCAAGACCAGCATGCTAAAGATTTAAAGCAACACAGTATAACTGCCAGCATAAATGAATTCCAAAGGCTAGAACAGTACAATACTTAAAAACGGAGCAAAGGCATAGCACCTATTGCTCAAAAACTGAACGAGTTTAGCATAACCCCCAGAAAGCTCTGGCAATCAACCATAAATAGTTGGGTATAGCCGTAACCAGTAGATAGTAGCCACGACTCGTAGGTGCAAATTTTAATCCACTACACACTTTCTCACCTGTATGCAACTACCACTGCATCAAATCCTATAATCTCTCATATCACCAGGAATTTACCCTAAATTAACCACAACGAGTTTAGCTCTTCACCCAGGGATATAATATTATATGAAATTCATGCTCTAGCAGGCAGCCGAGGCTCATTTATATAAACTCTCCCTTCATGCCAACTACCTGCAAAACCGGCGAAGATCTCATGATCACAGGGATGAGAAATGAGCAGCCAGCAGCGTGGTAACTCCACCCAGGGATGAGAAATGAGCAGCCAGCAGCGTGGTAACTCCACCCAGGGATGAGAAATGAGCAGCCAGCAGCGTTGTAACTCCACCCAGGGATGAGAAATGAGCAGCCAGCAGCATGGTAACTCCACCCAGGGATGAGAACTGAGCAGCCAGCAGCATGGTAACTCCAACCCAGGGATGAGAACTGAGCAGCCAGCAGCGTGGTAACTCCACCCAGGGATGAGAACTGAGCAGCCAGCAGCATGGTAACTCCACCCAGGGATGAGAACTGAGCAGCCAGCAGCATGGTAACTCCACCCAGGATGAGAAATGAGCAGCCAGCAGCATGGTAACTCCACCCAGAGATGAGAACTGAGCAGCCAGCAGCATGGTAACTCCACCCAGGGATGAGAACTGAGCAGCCAGCAGCATGGTAACTCCACCCAGGGATGAGAAATGAGCAGCCAGCAGCATGGTAACTCCACCCAGAGATGAGAACTGAGCAGCCAGCAGCATGGTAACTCCACCCAGGGATGAGAACTGAGCAGCCAGCAGCATGGTAACTCCACCCAGGGATGAGAACTGAGCAGCCAGCAGCATGGTAACTCCACCCAGGGATGAGAAATGAGCAGCCAGCAGCATAGTAACTCCACCCAGGGATGAGAACTGAGCAGCCAGCAGCATGGTGACTCCACCCACGTCCTTGCTGAGCCAGAGGGCCCTGTTGAGCCAGAGCTTCCTGTTGAGCCAGAGGTTCCTGTTGACCCAGAGGGCCCTCCTAACCCCCAAGGAGGTGGTAACTCTGTGTCATCTCCCCTGAGCGCTAAGGAATGGTACACTCTTCTTACAGTGTGTCCTAAAGGATCATATTATAAGTTAATGCAAAATAAAGGGTTTATTTGTTGTAGAGCTTATTCAGAAATATCATGTTGAACTAGAGCTTAACATGGATGAAGACACTAAAAATAATGAGCCCTGACCGCAAGCAAGCACTCGAATATAATAGAGCTAATTATAAGCAAACTCTGTGCAGGAAACAATACACACAAATCATGGGCAGATGTGGCACAAGACGGCTGAAGCAAGAATTCAATGCTTGATCAACAGTGACAGGAATGTTGTTAGTGGATGGAGGAAAGAACATGTAGCAAACATTGTAAAGAAAGACTAATATGGATCAAACAGAATTTAAAACTTCTGGTGGTGTGAGATAAAAATCTAAGATACTGATATTGATACTTCAAACCTGCATTTGTTTTCTAAACAAGTCTCTTTTTAACTTTATTTTAGTTGGCAGTGAAACTGAAGAATTTAGATAATGCTGTGAAGGTGATATATAATTTTTTGTGATTTTATTTATATACATTTATGTTTATATATATATATATATATATATATATATAATATATATATATATATATATATATATATATATATATATATATATATATATATATATATATATATATAAATTGTTCAGAGAACTGACTAGTTGACAAATTAGACACATGTGCAACACTTGGGAATCTTTGTGGAAATGTTTCACCACACAGTAGCTTCATCAGTCCAATACGAACAATGGTGAAAAAAGAACGGGGATGGGGGTAATCAGTACCTCAGCCTGGATTCGATGCAATCAGTCCATCAGTTTCAATAATATAGATGAACTGATTATATCTACTCCAGGCTGAAGGACTGATTACCTCAATCTCTTCCTCATCTTCCACTGTTCTCTGTACTGGACTGATGAAGTCACTGCTTGGTGAAACACTCTCAATAAATCTATGTCGCTCATAAACTTGTCGCTTTTCTAAACTATTTATTCAAATATTACTGAAGGAATATTTTGTTAATGGTGACTTTTAAGTTTGCTTATGTGACTTTATCAAAGTAATTTTGAGTTTCTGACATTTCACTACAGAGATAACCGAAGAATAAATGTAAATCCAGATTTCAGACGCAAGATAATCATTATATTTTTCCTCAAGTAAGCTGACGTCTCTATGGAATGATTCATCGTAGATTTGTTTCAGTTTCTTACAAGGAAATGTACAGTAAAGATGTAATCCCAGAGTTGAATTGATATCAAGAGCAGTTGTTGACAACATTGAATATACTGTAAGGGAATCAGTATTCTTTGCAACACCATCACTGAGAATGATGCGCCAACACTCCAAATACAGATGCAATGATTTTTCCTACCTTATTACTAAAGTTACTTCTAAGTTATAATTGGTTAATTTACAGAAATATAAACACTTACCTACAGTAGTGAAGCTGGTGTTGAGGATATTAGCAGAAATCACTACTATCAACATTACTACTACTACCAATATTACTACTGCCACTACCAGCACTACTACAACTATCACCACTCCCACCACCACTACTACTACCACTCTTCTTCAATGGGGGCTCTTTGGCACGGTGAAGAGGCTCTTGGTCTGAGGAATTAGACCTTTAAGTCTGCTTCCTCAGTTTATTTGGCATTTTGTTTATAGAAAGTATATTATAATACAACAGAAATACACAGCCCAGAACCTAACCTGCTGTATAAGTGGAGCCCTTCAGTAGCTCAGGACCTAATGGTTTACTTACCTTATTGGTGGCCCGGTGGCCTGGTGGCTAAAGCTCCCGCTTCACACACGGAGGGCCCGGGTTCGATTCCCGGCGGGTGGAAACATTTGACACGTTTCCTTACACCTGTTGTCCTGTTCACCTAGCAGCAAATAGGTACCTGGGTGTTAGTCGACTGGTGTGGGTCGCATCCTGGGGGACAAGATTAAGGACCCCAATGGAAATAAGTTAGACAGTCCTCGATGACGCACTGACTTTCTTGGGTTATCCTGGGTGGCTAACCCTCCGGGGTTAAAAATCCGAACGAAATCTTATCTTATCTTATCTTATCTTATTGCCAAAGTTAAGTTATTATTGGTTCATTTACGGAAATATAAACACATACAGCAGTGAAGAAGGTGGTGAGTAGAGTAGCAGAAACTACCAATATCAACATTACTACCACTACTACTACCACCATCACCACTACTACAACTACTACCACCACAACAACTACTACCACCATTACTACTGCCATCACCACCACAACCACCACTACTGCTACCACCACCACTCTTCAAGTGGAGGCTCTTTGGCACAGTGATGAGGCTCTTGATCTGAGGTATTAGACATTTTAGTCTGCTTCCTCAGTTTATTTGGCATTTTGTTTATAGAAAGTATATTATAATACAATAGAAATACAGGAGGGTCTCACTTTCTGGTATTTTCCAATACAGTGGTTTTCAATTATGGACATACTTCATTTATTCACACTTCTTACAATAAAAAATATTCTTACAATAAAAAATATTCTGTGTATTGTTGGTCAATTACTCACTTAATATATGACACTATAGACTCTCACTACTAAACACTACATAGACTCTCACTACTAAGCACTACACACACACTCACTACTAAACACTACACACACTCTCATTATAACTAACAACTCATCTAACACTACACTCACTCCTACTAAACACTACACACACTCTCTTACTAAACACTACACACACTCTCACTACTAAACACTACATAACTCTCATTACTAAACACTACATAGCACTCTCATTACTAAACACTATTAAATGTAAATAATCAACTTATTATAAAAAAAATTGACATAACTAACTACATACTTTAGTAAGCACTAACAACTTTTAAAACTTCCTAATCATGAAAATAAATTCTAATATAACCTAAATCTAAGATAATAACTATACAATACTATATAACAACTAGATCTCTTTAAAACTCATGAGTTTTAAACCTAACATGAGCGCATTATAAACACTATTTAATTTAAATATAATTTAAAAAGATTACTCTTTGTCTTTTGAGGAGCTGAAGACTTGTGTGAGACTCCAGTAGTGTACATTCTATTAGAGTTAGCTGATACGAGTCATCTATCTTTCATGTAGTCATGAAAACTTGGTCAAAACTCCATGATGAAACCAACTGAGGCATATTTCAATCTCATGAAAAGTTACATTTGTCTCCTTTGAGAGTGAGGCTTAGTGTGCGCCTCAGGTGTAATTCCTTGGCCATAGGATATTACTCTGTCCATGTTATGTGAATATCGTGGACAAACAATTTCATAGAATTTTCATACACCTGATATTTCCTAATGGAATTGGCTTTGATTGAATGTGCTGAGAGCCTCCGTGAGTTCTATGATTAAAGAGGATTCGTACACAACACTTCAACGATTTCTACAATGTATTCGTTTCAAACATGGTTTGATTAAGTATCTAGACCTCCATGTTCATGATAAAGGATTCGTACCTGGACCTGAAGTGCAGGTATTGGTTATCATCGAGGGACTCTAACTTCATCAAATAGATAACTTCTGCCCACATGAGACACGCCATTCTCAATAAACAGCTCCAAGCCGCTTAAGGAGGTATCTCCAACCATGGATGTGTATTCCTTTGGAGATCTCATTAGTTTTGTTTCTGATTACTTAAAAAATAAGAAACAGTCTAAGAAGCTGAACGTCCTGGCACGAGAAATGATGGATCCTGAAGCAGGGAAGCGACCAAACTTGACCATTGTTCAGGAACGCTTGCACGAAATCATGAACATCACAACGAAATGTAAACGACTCAAAAAGAGAGTTGTCGAAGCAGTGGCAGCAGCGACCGTATGGTGCAAAAAATATTTGTTCATCGCCAATGCTGAGGCGACATCAACCAATGATGTGAGAGATGGTCAGGAGTACTTTTATAACCACAACTGTAAAAAAAAAAAAAAAAAAAAAAAAAAAAAAAAAAATGATAAAAAAGTAAACAATTCTAAAAAAGGTGGTTGTTAGTTATGGTGTATGTTGCTAATGTAGGTTTGTTTGTCTAGTGTGTAGTGGTGTTGGTTTGTCTAGTGTGTAGTGGTGTTGGTTTGTCTAGTGTGTAGTGGTGTTGGTTTGTCTAGTGTGTAGTGGTGTTGGTTTGTCTAGTGTGTAGTGGTGTCAGCTTGTTTACCGAGTAGTGGTGTTGGTTTGTCTAAACTATTTATTCAAATATTACTGAAGGAATATTTTGTTAATGGTGACTTTTAAGTTTGCTTATGTGACTTTATGTGACTTTACAGTTAGGCCTGAGTGGTTGAGGGGAGAGGACGTGTGTGTTGAGTGAAGTCCTAGGCCTTCTATATCAGAACTGCTTATCTCACCCGACTGATAACTCGTCATGCAACAAATATCGTTGGAGCGCAGCTGAATTGCTGCTGGAACTCTTATGTGTGAACTGTGACTAGTGACATACCTAGTGAAACACAAACATGTTGATTTGAAGTGGCTGTAGGAGGCTACACCTTCACTCCACCTCGCCTCTCTCCCCTCCTTCCTCGATTTGGAACTCAGGCATTCGCCTCTATTTACTTATGGTCCAGAGGCGGTTTTTGCCAGACCACATAAATCTGAGTGCCCGTGTCAGTCCTCCGTGCCGCACTCCATTCATCTTACGAATATGTCTCCTGTGTGCCTACCTGCCTGCTACAAGCAAATATGCAAGTGGTTGACACGGGCTTAGCAAGCACATTCAAGCAGGCTTGAAAGCAGCATTCCAAGGCCCAGCATGTCTACGTATACGTTCTACAGTGCTGCTGGCATACCAGTGTTTCCTGCAGTGGCTTAGTTAAGAACAATTTAACGAGCATTGCAGTACTAACTTTTTAAGTGGGACATGCCAGAGGTTCACCTATAAACATAGTAAGTTTGTGCTAGTAGTGTTAACTCAGTAAACTGATGTTCTAGTGCAGTTTTCCTCTTCAAAACACCGTTTTCTCTTACTCAGAGACCAAAAAATGGGACATGGAGTGGAGTAACTCAATATTTATCGAAATATTTCCGATAATCTTTCGTCATATTATGGCCTATTTTATTCAGTCTAGAGTATATAACATGTTTGTATGTTATTTATAGTGTTTATTATATCATATTAGATCAATTCTGATAGACAAATAAGCCGTAGAGTTGATATATAAGCGTAATAATGGGCGATTCCTGCTGGTACCTCGGGAGCAGGAACACTGCCGAGTGTTCCCGTCTGGTTCCCGGTTGTCGCTAAGTCTATGTATAAGCTCCGCCAACTGTTTTATGATGCCAAATAGTCAGTTATTATATTAGAAAGAATAATGCAAGAAAAGGCGATAAAAAACAAGAAAACAACTCTAAAAAATATATGGGCCGTGAGCAGACTCGGTACCAACATCGCTGTCACCATACCTGATATAAATGACTATAATTTCTTGTAGAAACGTCGTAGAACATTCATTCTGGTACCATTGTGTTGCCAAAGAGTTGAGCTATTTTTCAGTATGTATAACTCAATTTCCATATTTTTCCGAATTTTGGGTGAGCGCGCGCGGAAAATTGCTCTACAGCCCCCTTAACACAGACTCTGATAAGTTTCATACTATACCAATAAAGGGGTAACCCCAAACAGTTGTCAACTAGTAAGTGCATCTCATGACTTCATTCAAAAAGAACTAAGCAGGTTAAACCCAACTAAGAGCACAGGCCCTGATAACATCCCGTCTAAGTTCCTAAAAGATGGAGCTTCTGAATTGTCAATCCCTATTGCTCACATAATAAATTTGTCCATCACCAGTAATACCATACCGGAGGGGTTCAAGGAAGCCAGAGTTACTCCTATCTTCAAGAAAAATAGTAGGTCTGATGTCAGCAACTATAGGCCTGTTAGTATAATCAGTATAATATCCAAAATTCTAGAGAAGGCGGTGTACCGTCAAGTAATTAAGTACCTTAATGACAACAACATTCTCCATAGCTATCAATTAGGCTTTAGAAGATCTTTCTCAACCGACACCTCCATGATTAATCTGATGGATTACATGAGAACTGAAATGTCAATGGGGAACCTCATAGGTATGGTAACCTTAAGAAACTTCAAGCTATCGGTACAGGTTCTGTAGACTGGTTTAAGTCCTACCTTAGCAACAGGAGACAAATTGTCAAAATCAACAAAACGGAATCAGGACCCTTGCCGAGAGCATGTGGAGTTCCCCAAGGTAGTATTCTGGGTCCCTTATTATTCCTATGCTATGTTAACGACATGCCTGTCAGTGTCAAGTGCAAGCTCCTACTGTATGCAGATGACAGTGCTCTGTTAGTGTCAGGTAAAGACCCACAAGATATTGCTAATGTTTTAACACTGGAACTGGAGTCCTGCAGCTAATGGTTAGTAGACAACAAACTATCATTACACCTCATGAAAACTGAAGTCATTCTCTTTGGCACGAAACATAAACTGAGAAGGGTAAATAATTTTAATGTCCAATGTAATGGGGAACCCATCACTTCAGTTTCCTCAGTAAAATGTCTGGGAATCTCCTTTGACCCATGCATGTCAGGAGAATTGATAGGGAACAGTGTAGTAATGAAAGCGAATGCCAGACTGAAATTCCTCTACAAACACAGTGTCTATCTACTGAAGCTCGCAGGACCCTATGTCTAGCCCTTATACAATGTCATATGGATTACGCTTGCTCTTCATGGTACTCTGTCTTGACAAAATAACTGAAAGATAGACTGCAAATCACCCAGAACAAGATGGTAAGATTCATCCTGGACCTGGGTCCAAGAGAACATGTAGGCCAGGATGAATTACAGCAGTTGGATATGCTGAATGTTGAAGACAGAGTAAAGCAACTGAAGCTAAATCATGTTTATAAAATTGCTCACAAACAGTGTCCAGAATATTTTGCTGCAAATTTTCTCAAGGTTGGGAATCAAAGCAATCATAGTACTAGGGGGAGAGAACACAACTTTGTAGTACCTACAGTCAGTGACCAGGCTTCAAACACCTTTTATTGTGCAGCAATAAAGGAATGGAACAGACTGCCTGCACATGTCAAAGCCAGTCATAGCATGAACCAGTTCAAGAAGAGTGCCAAAAGGTGTCTGATGAATGAAGCTACAGAAAGGGAGGAGAATGATTTTTTTATTTTTTTAGCTAACACGTGTAATTTTGCCTTATACCTAGTAGATAGTCTTAATAGTGTGATAATAAGACATTATTTCCTTTAATAATAATAATAATAATAAGATATTATTACCTTTATATTATAATAATAAGGTAAAATGACCCCAATGGAATTAAGTCACTCTGTATGACTTTTTTGGGTTATCCCAGGTTCTCTACACATATGCTGCTATGTATGATAATTCTATGTAACTGTATTTGTGTATACCTGAATAAACTTACTTACTTACTTACTTACTTACTTACTAAGGCAATAGACCTCAGTGTGTGAGCAGAGTGCACTAGCGATCGGGACATAAGATATTAATAGAACCCAAAAGGAAATAAGTCACTTTGACATTTTGGGGGGTTATCCTAGGTAATTTGCACATATGTATGATAATTGTAATCACCCAAATTAGTGTAACTGTTATAATTTATACTTGTACCTAAATAAACTTACCAATACTACTACTCACGTTTAATTAAGTTTACCCAGCAAGAAAAAGGCTGCGTTATATTTTCTCTATATCACCGTGTGAAAGAGAACAACGTATGTAACATTCTTTGGGAAACAAATGAATTGTCTCAGGGTAATTAGACGGTCAATAACAGTTCAAATTCAGGATAGGATAGGATATCTGAAGGTTGCTTTTGTGGGTAAACGTCCCCGCGTCCCGGTCTCAGACCAGGCCTCCTGTGAAGTAATTAAGCAAATAAGCTTTTAATTTAGTAACACGTGCGTATATTAACTTAAGATAAACAAATCTGGAAATTGATTACCTGGCATTAATTGGAGAATGCTTCTTCACATCAGCTTCAAAATATCAAAGATGGTGAAGAAGATTTCATTAATATTCTTAACCCAGGGGTTAGTAATCCAGGATAACCCATTAAAGCCATTTGTGGCTTGTTTCCATTAAGTTTAGAGCAAGCCGCTGCTGCCTTTCCTAACTACTGAACCGCTATGACAAGGTCTTAGATGCACTGGACAAACAAAATGCAAATGCGGTATACACAGACTGCGAAAGCCTTCGACAAATGCGACCATGGTGTAATAACGAGTAAAATGGAAGGAAATAACCAAAATAGTCCACCACTTTGAGGCCTTGTTGGACTGGAGGCACAGCCATTGGTTTCCCCATGGCCCTCCAGAACCACAGCTACTGATGCCAACAACAAAATCCCCCCAACAAACATACAATACGACCTCGTTTATATTTGCTAATATACAGGACCTTAAGCTCTTCACGAGATTCATACACCATGATGTGTATGTTTCTCAGTGTATACACTGAGAATTTCATCCCCGTTTTAGTTATTAAAGTATTATTCCTGACTGGTGGAATACAGAGTAGTTAATGGGGTTTGAAACCTATCGACTACACGAGGGTCATTAAGATTGCTTGGTAACTTGTCCACCACTAGACAAAGGATTGTGATTCGAGGAATTGGAATAGTTATTTTCTTCCTCGGATCAAACCTGATTACCTCCCATTCCCCAGGCGCTGCTACTGTTGCTACTTCTACTATTATTAGTACTTCTACCATTACTAGTACCACTACTGCTATTATTAGTAGCATTTGCACTATTTTAGCACTATTGTACCACTAATGTTATTAGTAGTATTTGTACTACTACTATTAGTACTACTAGAAGTATTACTACTGCTACTCGTAGGACTATTGCTATTAATAGTAGTACTTGTACTACTACTAT